CCAGGGACGTGGAGCACGCAGGTGCCCCATGCAGCAGGGCACAGTGTGGTGACCCCACCCAGCCAGGAGCCCAGGAAGCCCTGGGAGAGAGCAGGATGGAGAAGGGGCAGGGCTCCTGGTAGAGGGCACAGGTGTAAAGGCCCTGGGGTCGGGACAGAGTGGAGGGGACAAGAACAGGATGAGAGCTGTCCATGCCAGCTCTGGGGCACCGAGAGGGGAGGCGTCGCAGCAGGGGAGGAAGAGGCCAGACCTGCCTCTGACCAGGATGCTCGTGGTGACAGTCTAGGTCCGGTGACGGCGAGCCTTTTAGAGCGTTCAGTGATAACAAACAGCTGGCTCTGACACGCATGCCACAGGTTCGCCACCACGGGTCCAGGGAGACTTGGGGTGTGGCTCTGGGTGCTGCGTGTGGACGGGACATGGACGTGGACGTGGCAAAGCTGAAGGGTCAGCAGGGAGGCTGCCACTGTCCTAGCCCCGAGAAGAGGCTGGGCCTCACAGCCACCCTCCAGGGCTGGCCCCGCACGGGAAGCTGGGACACAGCCCCTGAGGAGGCCCCACTGCCCTCAGGGAGCCCCAGAGCCGACTTCCTCCAGGAAGCCAGCGCCGCCCCACCCTGGCCCAGCCATCCTGCTGTGCAGTCAGCCGTGCTGTGGCCACAGACCCCGGAAGAGCTGTCTCCTCCAGGCAGGCGTGCACAGGACGTGAGGAGCCTTTCCGGGTTGTCGGCCTCATATCACCAGCACATAGTGCCTCGCCCACCCTGCCACCGCCACCTGTTCCCGGGAGGGGCAGCAACAGTCTACGAGCGGCCTCTGTGGGCTCCTTGTGACCCCCTGTGCCCCTGCCACGTGAGGCCCAGCCCCGCCAGAGGTCACCACCTCACCCCAAACCCGAGACTCTTCACTGGCAAAGGGCTTCTCCTGTGCAATGAATCTGGGGCTTGGGGGCACCCGAGCCCAGGGAGGGGGTGGAGCAGAGAGAAGGGCACCTGGGGATGGATAGCTGCTGCTGACGACTGATCTGCAGACAGAGGGTTCGGGGCCTAGAAGCTGGAGAGGCAGCGAAACAGTCCTGCTCCGAGCCTCCGAAGGGAGCTCGGCTCTGAGCACGTGGGTCGCAGCCTGCAGGGCTCTAAGGGCTCCGTGTTTTCACAGCAGCTGCGTTTGTGGACCTGTTAGGGCCGCCAGAGAGGCAGCTCACCCGACAGCAAATGCCTGGGGCATCTGACCATGGAAAAGGATTTAACTTGCACAAAATAAAAATGAGCCTGGTGAATGGTGACAGGCAATGAGCTGGTGTCCACGACGGGCAGAGCTCTTAGACGTCAGTAAGGAAACGCACACTCCCTCCATGCAATCAGAAAGACAGCGCGTGACACTGTGATGAGAAGAGAAGCGAGTGCAGATGGCCGATTCCCTGGGAAAAGATGTCCAGCAATCAAAGTAACACAAACAAAAATAACAGCCAGATGTGGCTTTTTGTGTGTCAGAGTTTCGAACAATATAGGAAATAGGTGCTAACGAGCCACACCAGGACGCCCTCGATTGCAGCAGTTGTTCTGAAGGGTAGCTCCAAGCTGCATATCAAACTGTAAAATACGGATTCACCAGAAGTGGCCGAGGCGCTGGAGGAGCAAGGCAGGAGGGTGTGCAAGGGCAGATCCTGGGCCTTGGCACAGAGCCACCAGGTACAGGGACTCGAGTGCAGTCCCAGAGACAGCCGCGGAGAAAGGTCGCTCGATTTGCAATGTGTGAGCCGAAGGTTCATCCTGCCAACAAGTGGTGCCGGGTAAATGGGATCTGAGTGAGGGAAAGGCTAAATCTTGACCCTGACTTTGACGCACACAGACAATTGGACAAGGGCCATAGATCTAGATGGCAAAGGAAGCAATAAATGCTGTGGGTCACATGCGGGGCTCCTTGCGGCCTTGGGTCAGGCGAAATTCCTCAACCGGAACACAGAGGGCACTAAACTTCAGAGAAGAGCTTCACAAACTGGGTTTCATTAGAATTTAAAACTGCTATTCATCAGCAGACACCAAGAAAGCAAAAGGTCGGACCCAGTCCAGGAAGGGACTTGCAACACATACCCTCCACAAATGACTCACAGCCGAATGTGGAGAACGCCTAAAAATCAATCAGGAAAAGCAGCAGCAGGCACATTTAAAAAGAAAGCATACCCGGATCCCCAGTAACACCTGAACAGCCACCTACTTCAGGCAAAAGCAAATGACAGGCGGGTAAGGAAAGCTGGCCGGGGGGCTGTGCTTTGACAGAGAAGTGCCAAGCGCTGGCAGCAGGGACTGTCCTGCCGCAGCGGGGAGGGGCGGCACCTGCCCGGGAAGAACCATTCTGTGTGATCCGTCACTGATGGACACATCAGCTGTGACCCGGCATCTCCCCATGGAAATGCATGCTGGTCTGAAAAAGCCGGCCCTGGGGAGGCCACAGAGCTGCCACACGGCCCAGCCTTGTCTGGCCTGTGCGCGCTGCTGACTGTCGAGACCGGCTGCCTGGCAGGGTGGCCCGAGGGCCGGGCAGACTGCCCTGGGAGGATGCTGCATGCACTTCCACAGTGCCAATGCGACATGGTGACCTGCCACTCGGCGACGGACCGCGGAGCAGCGCGCCTCAGTCCTCCGACCACACCTGCAGTTCCCAGGCTCCCTCTGTGAGGAAGTAAACATGGATCTGGCCCAAACATCGAAACCAATCTAAGGCCAGGGTTGAAGCGCAAGCGTGAACCAGACACCTCTATTTCTAGCAAGTTCTGCCAGAGAGTGCTGAGCGGGCTCACAAAGGCTCCTTACGGTGCTGCACGTGGCCCTGAGGACTCAGAACACACTGGCCCAAACAGCAGGACTCAACCACCTGGACTGCGACACAGCCTTGAGGATGAGTACAGGTGCAGGTGCAGGCGCCAGGGTACCCCTCAGACACCCCAGCACAAGCCCGCAGGAATCTCTAGACTGGTGCGGGTTCTGGGAATGTCACCTATGTGCGTGTGTGCACATGTGTGCATGTATGTGCATGCGTGTCCATGTCAATAGCCATGTCCATCGGTACAGCAGTCTGCAGAGCAGGGACACCTGGGCACCAAAGAATGACCACAGCAAGAGAAGGAAACTGCATCCACATAGACCATGTCCCTGCCCACTTCAGATCCTGGAGAAACCCCAGTGGAAGCTGCAGCCCTGCCGCAAGAGAAACCCATCCACCTGCTTGCATCTCCTCGAACCTGCTCCTGAGAATTCCAACCTGGGATCACGCTCAACGGGGTGAACCAGACTCAACCGGGTACCACAGGGCAGCCAGGCCATGCACAGCTGTGAGGGATAGAGGCCAGGTGCTGGTCAGACCTCCCTGTGCCATCTCCTCTGCCACCTGAGGGCCCAGCAAGGGCTCAGCACGCTCAGTGGGGGCCCGGGTACAGCGGTCTGTCCCTACATCCAGGGCCTCGGTGGCTTTGGCCCCTTTTGTCCCCAGGATCCACTGGGCCATCCTCCCGCCTCATCCTGGCTGAAACCTTGTCCCCATGCTCAACCTCGGCACTGTGCTGGCCTCGTTGGGGCCAGGAAAACAGATGCATGGGTGCCCCGGCCATGAGTGGGCCTCTGCACACTGCCCCACAGCAAGAGCGTCACACAGGATGGTCCCGCCTCTCACACAGCAGCCAGCGCCCAGAGCCAGAGCCGGACAGGGCAGCAGGGGCACACAGGTGACCTTCCCAGGAGAAACCTCCGAGCCTGGAGGATGCCTGGCTACGATACGCTCTGATTACCACGCTCTCTGGCGTGACACATTCCCTCTGCCTCTCTCCGAGACAGATTTCTATTCAAGCACTTGCTTTGTTAAAAATAGCTACAGTAACCAATCATTAAAGCAGGAACTGCATTTCAGTCCACCCTTTCTTTTTCTCTGGTTTTCAAATTGGCACCTTGCACTTCACAGAAGACAGAAGTGTATCTTCGACCTGGCTTCCACCATCGCGAGGCTGCGGCGGGCAGGGAGAGGCAGCAGCTCCCAGCGCTGGCGGCCAGCTCACACCCTGCTGGAGGCTCCGGCCGGAGGCACTGCCCAGGCCCCCGGAGTCCTCTACACAGGACGCCTGGGGACCACAACACGCACGGCAGCGTGGGGTCAGGACTGCCGCTGCTTCCAGCCTCTCAGACGCCTGGGGCTCGAGTGCCCCCAGGAGCCGCCGGGACCTCCTTCCATGCGAGCAAGGGAGCCACCAGCACCCATGCCCGGCTCCCCCTCTCTGCTGGCCTCCACCCCAAGCACCCTACATAGCATCTGCCTGCTGCACCGCTTCCTGCCCGCGCTTCCCGGGTGCGGACGCCTCTGGCAGATGCTGCAGCTGTGCTGCTCCCCAGCCACCCCTCTCATCGCCCCCCAGAGCCCCAGCGGCATGGACTTCAGTCGGCAGTGCCCACGTCACTGCTTCGGAAACGATCTGCATGCACGCACGCAGGCACACGCATGCATGCATGCACAGGCGCGAGGGTCACAGGAGAGTGGGGAAGGCCTGGCTGGGGCCGAGCTCTGCCGCCCACTGAGGAGCTGTGTTCTCTGCTCACTTTGGTGTGCTGCACACGAGGGGCGGGACGGGTGAGCTGCAGACAGGTGCACACACCTTCCAGAGCGCCCGGGGGGCCCAGGGAGGGGCCTGAGCCCGGGAACCACTGGGGCGCCACAGGTGGAGAGGGCGGGACAGACCTGCTGCGAGCCTCTCGGCTAGAGGACCTGGGCTGGCGCAGCTCGACCCCCACCCCAGGAGCCACGGACTGGAGCAGAGCGATGCGCATCCTCAGCACCACAGGGCAAAGGCGGAGGATCAGGTCGGGCACGAGGGTAGCACGGAGGGCAGGAGCCACGCCTCGCAGGACGTCACTGCCGCCCTGGGAGCCCCGCTAGCACCAGAAGATCAGGGCTCCTCGGCGTCTCGCGGACACCTGCCAGTGCCCTCTGCGCACACCGGGGGTCACACCAACTCACCAGGCTGTGTCTGAGCTGCACGGTGACCAGGGGGGACCCCGAGAGGTTCCGGGAGAGCGCAGGCGGGGGCCGCACCTCCAGCGAGATGAGGGGGCTGGCGGTGGACAGCAGGCCGTCTCTGCAGCTGGCCAGCATGGGAATCCTGGGGAGAGGGGCCTGGTCACACGCCTCGTCTGGCAGCTGTGGCCTTTGCTGCCTTCTGAACCCCTTTTGTGAGGACGCAGTGGCCCGTAGGTCCTGGTGTGGGGCGTGGGCTGCCTCAGTCCCCTCCAGGGGAGCCCTACCCAGGGTGCAGCCTCGTCCAGGTCAGAGCCCAGCCACCCCAGAGAGGGCGAGAGGCTCAGGAAGGACGCTGGACAGAGGCTCCTCCCCGGGCTGGATGCCTGCCCTGGAGGACAAAGCCCAGGGAGCAGCTACCATCAGTGGGGAGGGGCTGGCTGGGGAGGGCCTCCCCTGAGGGGTGGCCTGGAGATGGAGCTAGCAATGGACGCTGGATCAAGCTGCTCCTGAAGCTGAATGCCTGGGGAGCTGTCCTGGGGAGCTGTATGCGACCCAGTAAGGCCCCCTGTGCTTCCCACCAAGGCATATGCCCACAGAGCCGCCCCTGGAGCCATGTCGGGGCCCTGGGCGTGGCTGGCACCCTGTCCCTCCCTCTGCTGGCCTTTCCCAGCAACCAGATCCGAACATCGTGTCTGTCACCTATGATTTCCCGTGCCCGTGAATGACGGTCACAGGTCACCCTGACCATTCTGCCTGACAACGTCACTGTCCCCAACACCGACACAACCCGCCAGGAGAAAGGTGCAAATTTAAAAATGAAGAGGCAGCCTGGCTCCGGGGCTGCACTTCCCAACCCCTCGTTCGATGGCCCAGGATGGTGTGGGGCTCAGGCCCCACAGGGCGTGGGACACTGCGGGGCTCAGAGCTGTGGGCCCAGACAGCCCTGCCCTTGAGGACGCCGAGTGCGGCCAGCGTGACCGTCATAGCAGCTGTATGTCCCAAGCACCCACTTGGACCCGAGGACCGGGATGTGGAGCCCTCTGGCTGAGGGGAAGGCCTGTGAGAATGCAGGGCTCAGACGGCCCAGGTGCAGGGCACTGCACTCTTGGGTCCCCGAAAACAGGCCAGGAGCATCCTCGGGAATGAGGGCCATGACGCTGGCCGCAGCACAGTGGTCACTGCAGCTGGCAGCCCTAAAACAGACTCCACGGCCTCTCTAGGGTCCTTCCTGCATCACCTAGTCAGGCGCCACCTCCCTGGGATGAGCTGGGGATGGCGCCCAGGGCCCGGCAGTGCTAGGCAGATGCTCCCCCACGGAGCTGCACACTGCCCTGGCACCTGGGTCCTTCCCTGCCTGTCCGTGTCCTCCAGCTCCTCCACACACAGCTCCTCCACTGACCCAGCTCTGGCAAGGGCCAAGCGCACGAATGCATGAGGGAAGGAACAGATCCACCCACAGACAGACGGTGCTGTCTTCCCATTCTGCAGATGTGAAAACTGAGGCTCAGAGAGGTTAAGTCATGGGTCAAGGTCACACAGGGGCTCCGAAGCCCCCTCCCCAGGCTGTGCTGACCCCTCTCTGCAGTGAGTGCAGGCTGGACGGCGAGGCCCCAGTGCCGTGTGACGGCCAGGGGAGGGGTCCCTGAGACTGGCTGCCCGGGCACTGCCGCCTCGCCTCCGCCCCAAGACCCATGAACTCACGTGGTGCTGGCCAGGGGGATGTTGCCCACGTACTGGTGCACCGAGTGGTAGAGGAGGCCCACGATGGTGGTCCAGGCTGGAGACAGAGCAGAGGGGGACGCTGTCAACACCCAGAGTGAGCAGGAGGAGCCAGAGGTCCTGCCTGGGGGACCCCCACTCCTCGGCAGCCTGAGCAGACCACGCCTTCCTGGAGCCATGGCCCGAAGCCCCGCCAGAGGCCACCAGAGCCCTGGGCCCTGTACCAAGGGCAGGCGGGCAGTGGGGCGGAGAGGTCTCCGGCTGGGCAGGTGCAGACACCAGGCCTGGAGGAGGCACAGGCTGAGAGTCTCTGGATGACCTCAGTCAGTCCCTGTGGCTCCCGTGCGTGTGTCGGGACTTGGCTTGGACTTGCAGGTAGAGGCAGGCCCTGGACAAAGCCCTTGCCCAGCACGGCCGTCCTGACACGCGCAGTCACATGTGGCCAGGCTCACGCGAGTGTGGATTTCTCCCGGTGGGTGGCTGTGTGGAGCAGCACTGGGGTTCACCTGGGCTTGGAGAACAGCCCTCGGGGCCTCTGGTCAGCCATGCCACTCACCTTGGCCACGAAGGGCCTCACCGGGAATCTTGATGTAGCTGTCCCCATGGGCAGGGAACCGGTAGTGCGCCGCACTCAGGGTCCCCGGGGTGAGCCTGGCCAAGGAGAAGTCTACAGGGGACAGAGGGAGTGGTCAGCTCAGCAGGCACCAACCCCCCTCTCCAACCACACAGGCCTGGCTGAGCGCCTCTGGGAGTGAGGCCTGGAGACAGCACACGGGCCGGGAAGCAACGCCCAGAGCTCCGTGAGCCCGTACTCCCGCCCTAGGTGAGGGCTGTGCCCGTCCGCTGCCCGACCTCACCCTGCACCCGCCCAGCCAGGGCATGAAGACCCCAGTCTGCCGCTGTTGCTCTGAACATGCGGGGACCGTAGGAGACCCGGAAAAATGACATCCTATGCCAGCAGGTACGCCTGACATGGAGGTGGCAGTGGGCGGCCACACTGGCACCGAGACAGCCCCTGCAGGTAGCTGAGCTTCTGGCTGGGCCGCTTCGACCCAGGACAGACCCCACACATCTGCCTCCTGGGACTGGGACGCTTGTACCCTGGCAGTGCCAGTGCCCGACTCTAAGACCCCGACTCTGCTGTTTACCCAAACACCCTGGGGAGCAGGGCCTGGTTGTCCCGGGACAGGAAGTAGCCTTGTAGGTCACCGGGAATGTGCACGTGGCCCTGCAACACACAGTCCGGCCAAAGGCCTCGGGGTTCAGGAAGACGGCGAGGTGCGCCTCATCTCCTGGGTGTGAGCTGGGGCAGCTGGAGCCCACAGCAGGCTGAACACCCCGAGTCCCTTCACCCACACCTCCCGCCCGCAGACCACAGCCACCTGCCACAGGAGAGGAGCCTGCGAGGGTGACCTGCAACCTGCCGCCCTGCAGATTGAAGGACACATGGGCCATGACGGTGTCAATGGTGTCGAGGAGGTCGGGCACCAGGGCCTTGTCCTGCAGACGGAGAGGCAGCGTGAGGCCCGCTTCACCCAGGCTGCACCCAAGGCAGGACCCGGGTCGCACCTGTCTCTGCTGCCATCAGGCGTGTGTCATCCTCAATGCACAGGACTAGAACGGCCTGTCTTGCCCCCCCACGCCACCCGCCTCTCTCCTGCCTCCCTGAGCCCGGCATTCCCATAGGCACAGGCTCCGGGGGAAGTTGAGGAGCTGGAAACAGACACCGGGCCGAGCTCAGACGTGCTCTTCTGGGCTCATGACCTGATTTCCCTCAGCTTAGCTGAGCTCTGCACGGGGCTGCTTGGTGGCCCACGTTGGAGGGGAGTGGCTTTTCACAGGCTCCCCGGTGCACCCCAGACCCGCTGGGCCCCAGGCCTCAGGACTGTTCACATTTGCTTCAGATGTGCATATTTTGCATTTAAAAACAGCCCATCTGCCCTGTCCGCCACAGGCCTCCGCTGTTGACTCCCCATCTGCGGCCTGCACACGAACCCCCTTCAAATCACAAGCCCTGGTGGGCCATGCTTTTTAAAGGAGAATTTGTTTCCAGTTAGGACTGCGTCAGCGTTACATTCCGGAACCTTTCCTCTCACTTGGCCAGTGTTAAACCTGACCTCACGCCACGGGAAGCTCTCCAAATAAAAACGCTATTGACAGGAAACTGCAGTGCAAGAGTGTTAATGAGAGGGAAGGAGCTGTCCCTCTGCCTCCAGAGCTGGCTGGTGCTCTCAAAGGTGCTTGGGAGGGGGGTTCAGGCGGTGAGCACCATGACCACCACCGCAGCAGGGCCTCCGGGCTGAGCTGTCCCCCAACACACACCTCTGGGGCCGCAGAGGGCCACAGCGGGGCAGAGCCGTGGGGCGTGGGGTGTGGGGCATCCCTACTGCAGCTCAGCCAGCTCTCCTGACCCCCAGGGCACTGCAGACAAGCATTCCATGTCCCAGATGCTCTGACAGGACTGGGGGCAGGGTAAGGCCGGGCCCACGCCTGCCGCCAGAGCCTCTGAGTCAGAGGGAACTGAAACCCGGCCTACGGGCTGCACCAAGCTGCTGACCACCGCCCAGGCTCCAGGTTTCTGGTGACTGATTCTCAGCCACTTATTGACTTATCTTACTTTTCAGTGAGTGAAGTCAATATGCTTTTTAGAAATCAAATGAAATCTTCCATTCTCTCAAGTGCAGACAAGGAAGAGAAGCTCAGTTTCACCTGTCTGGGTTACCTCAACACCAGGCATGTCTCTGATCGCTGTCCAAGAAGGAGGGGTATAAACCTGTGTTATGTAAAACCGGGGACGCAGGTTCTCCCTGGGAAAAGGAGCCTCTTCCGCCCTTGGGAGGCAGATGCCACAGGCACAGCCCTCTGGGAAGATCCAGCAACACAGACTCAGGGCCTGGCGTCAGGACAGGGAGGAGCAAACTCCCCTTGGGGCCACGAATCAGGCCCTGTCACCCCACATCTGTGTGACAAAGTGTCCCCAGGTACATACACTTTGAAGATCACACGTTCCTCACCTCCAACGCCATGGTCCAGCTGGGCGGCAGCAGCACCTGGCCCACGGCCCACAGGAAGGTCTGAGGGGGCAGGATGGCAGTGTTAGGCTCACAAGACCTCGGGTCCCCGGCACCCTCCCCACTACCGCTTGCTGTGCAGACAGCCGGAAGCAACGGCAGCTCCCCTGGAGTTCTGGGCCCCCTGCCGCATCTTAGGGCGTCTTCTGAGTTGCGCACTCTGACAGAGGAGCAGACAGTGCCCGCCTGCCATGGGCTGTCACCATGACCTCCAGTGGCTGTGGCAGGGCCCTAATCCACCGCTGGGGTTTGGGGGACATTTGCGAAGGAGTGGAAGCTGTGGAACAGGCTCTTCCTGGGTGAGAAGGCAAACAATGCTAAGCCACTTGGGCTAATGGGAGTGGTCTCGCCCTAAGCAGCAGCCACGGGCCCTCGCTTCAAGTGTCTTAGAACCATGTCTGGTTCAGCTCACGATTGTGCCCCCAAAAATGACATTACTTCCCAACAGTTTCAAATTGGGTGCAAGATTTAAGTGAAAAATACGGATTTCCTGCTCTTGTTTGGTAGCATAGTGGAAGTATGGGCCAGTTCACCCCAGTGCCCACCGACTGCCTCGCCTGGCTGCCTCAGCCCATGGCACGTGTCTCCCACCACTGGGCACAGAATGAAACCCAGGCCCACACAGGAAAGGCCCAACATCTTCCCACTCCAGACACTCGGCGTCTGCAGCTTAAACTCCAAATTCCTCACTCTTGGCCTTTATTCCACAGGTGTGTGAGGCCTTGGAACCAATGAGAAAACAACCTCCGCCCTCATGGGCCAAGGCAGAGTCAGCAGGGTTTCTGTAAGAGGCCAGGCCCATGCCACCACGGTGGGTAGCAGCTGGGCATCCAAAGCCACCGACTTTAACCTTTAGGGGCACCCTTCTGGTTCTCTAAGGGAGCCCCATGCCCAGAGCATTAGAAGGGAAACATTCCCACCTGGAAGAAGTGAGTGGCTAACTGCAACTGAGAGGAATTATGTGCAGACCAATACAGACCCCCTGAGAGGAACCCAGCCTGTGGGTGGCAGTCTGGGGCCTCAGGCACCTGACTCAGGGGCCAGCAGATGGATCGTGCAGATTCATCCAGACTCCCGAGCTCTGATCCAGGGAGAAATAATGGTCCTGGGGCCTCCTGGGGCCCAGGCTCCTCACCATCCACCATCACACAGGGACATGCCAGGTGCTGATGTCCTGCGAGGGGCAGCAAGGTGCCCAGCAGCCACCCATGTTCTTGAGCACTGAGCTATTTGTTTGTTTCTTTGTTTTTTGAGACAAGGTTCCACTATGTATTCCTCAAACTCATGGTGATCCTCCTGCCTCAGCCTCTAAGTGCTGGGATTATAAGCATGTGTGACCACACCCAGCTAAAATATATATTATTAACTTCACCTTTATTTTTTAAAAAAAATATATGGCTGCTAGAAAATTTAAAATGACGAATGTGGTTCATATATTTCGGTGGACAGAAATGCTCTAGATCAGGACTCCATAGGACTCCTGGCTGAATCGGGCCCACTGTCTGTCTGTGTATGTAAAGTTTTATTGACACACACTCATCCTTTACACACTGTCCCTGGCTGGTCGTGCCCTTCTGTGGCAGAGGTGAGCAGACGGCCTGTGAAGCCTGCACCCTTATTTCTCTGGGCACTGAAGGCCTCTGAGTTTGCAATCTCTGGCTCTGTGAGGTTAGTGGAGAACAGAAAGGGAGCAGCAAGCAGAGGAAGTCACCAGGCTCAGAAAGGAAGTGCTTCCTGTGCAGACCTGCACTGGCTTTTTGCTCTGACAGACACAGCCATACACGCTCTGAGCCACACCAGCCACTGCAGCCCCACCCTGCTTAGAGGGCAAGCCACTCGAACCTAAAGGAAGTGGTTATGAGGCACCGACTGCATGCACTGCTGTCTAGTGTGCAGATGCTAGTACAAAGTGGACACTTACTTACTGTATGCTGTCTGCATTTCCCTGCTGGTTAGAGGAAAGGGTGCTGGTACCAAGAACAGGGGTTTATTGGGTGCCAACTGTATACAAGGCACCACCTGTCCAGGCGATTCCCTGTAGCCTAGCTCCACAGAAACACATTCAGGTTCATACTAATGAAAGACTGGGCTGGGGATTTAGCTCAGTGGTTCCGCTGCCTGCCTCACAAGCGCAAGGTCCTGAGTTCGATTTCCAGTACCAAAAACAAAACAAAACAAAATACTAATGAACCACTTACTGCATACCAAGTCCTGTCCAGAGAGTCACACAAGATCCTCCACTTACACACATAACGACCTATGAGGTTATCCAAATCCAGTGAACCCAAGCCTGCCCTTCCTGTGGGAGCTGGAAGTGCTCCCCCAGAGGCAGTCTTGCCCCACCAAGAGGTCCTTCAAATTGGCTGAGCCATCACACTGATTTAATCTCTCACCAGTGATTGGGCTATGAGAGGTCATGTGAGCTAGCTCTGACCAATTAAATGTGTGAGCTTGCTGCAGAGCATCATGGGAAGCATTCTGTACACGAAATAGGAGCCACTGGCCTCACCTTCTTCCAAGCCATGTGTGAGAAGCTGGGTGCTGCCCAGATCACATAAGATGATACCTTCAGTGCTAAGAGGGACCCACAAGCTGTACCTGGAGCAGAGTGCCACACAGAGGAGGCTACCCAGCCTCCCGCCACCATCACTGGCCTCTCAAGGAAGCCCCACTCTGGGCCTGTATCTCCTCACTGTGGCACCAGCTGAGGGCACCAGCTGAGGGCCCGGCTGCCTGGCCCCCCTGGCCCGTGCTGGTCCCTCCCTAGTGATCTCCAGAACCTGCGTCTCTCTCCCCACAGCCCCAACTGGGCATGGCTGTGCTTTGTGGGTGGATGGAGTCTGAGGCGTTTCACCCTAACAGGACAGCTAGCAAGAGCCTCCCCGCCGCACAACGTCTCCTTCGGGAAGCACGGGGCCTGTCGTGCATTTCCGTGGGTGTCATCTACTGGGAACCCAGGAAGAATTAAGAACCCCCGAGAAGTGCTCAGCGCCCACGCAGGCCCCATGAGGACACCTCCGAGATGTCTCCTGTGTCTGTGACGAGGAGCCCAGATCACACGCCCCTTCTCTCCCCACACCAGCCAGGGGCCCTGGCTCTACCAGATCCCACAACCCCCTCTGCCTTCACCCAGAAGGTTTCTGAGAAGTAAAACGAGAAGGCACCCTGGTTTGAATGCCTCAAATGTGCATTCGCTGAACACTTGGCATCGCTCTGAGACTCCCCTGTGTGCAGACTGTGGCCTGGGCCTCGCTCCACCTGTTACAGACCCAATCCTGTCATTCTCCTGATGCAGCAGAGTCCAGACCAGAAGCTGTGAACCCAAATACCTCAGGGGAGCAGGGGGTGCTTGGATGTACCGGGCAGGCTGGGCATTATGAAAATGGAAGACACAAGTTCACTGAGCTGCATAGCACTGGTCAGCTACGGCCAGCTCATGAGGAGTCTGAAACCTGACTTTCATGTGCAGGTTCCCGGCCTTTTAACACCAGGCTGTGGAGTAGCCATGCACTGGGCCTGGCCCACCAGACATAGGGACCGGAGAGCTTTACCTCTGTGAGATTCAACGCTGTTTCCTCTGAGAGAGGCTTATTGGGTAAGCTGAGGGTCACGTTTTGAAGGTAATTCAGTGCAGTTCTGGCTCGTGGGAAGCTCTGTCTCTCCTCTGTCAGGTTGGTTATGATGGGATGGTAGGCATCCACAGGCGCCTGAAAGATAGCAGCAGCATGAGGCTCTGTATGCCCTGTGGAGGTCCGAGGACTTCCAGCTGCTGTGACAATGACACGTCCACATCAGGCGCCTTCATGAACGCCTTGCATGTGTCACCATCTTGTCTGCACGGGAGGAAAGAAGAGCCGTTTGATAGGGGACGCTGGGCGTGGAAAGCCGTACACAGAGGGAGTGGTACAGCGGGCATTTGAACCCAAGGGGACTCTTTAGACCCCTGCACTGTCTGTTGAATTCTCAACAAGGACAGGTCTTTGGTTACAAATGCTAATTGGAGAGGGGGATGCTTTCTGCTCAAACTGTTCCTTTCTTTGGATATCAAAAGAAAAGGCACAACAGGAAGCCGAGCCAGGGCAGGCTCTGGCTGCCCCAGGAGACCATCTCTGCCATCATTTGTGCCTAAGAATCTCCTTTCCTCCTGCCAGGTGCTGAGGTCGCTGCTGCGGGAAGCACAGGCTCTCTGCCATCCCTCACTCAGCAACAAGCATGGCCCGAAGTCGGCTTCCCTCCACTTATCACTTCTTTCCAGGCCTTCTCGTGCCAAGAGAGACCTGAGGTTCTTAATGAAATCCAGCCCTGCTGCCTCACAGTCCAAGCAGAAACACCAGTGAGGGGCAGAGGGGCGGCCAAGGCTCACCATGGTGCTGGCCGTCCGGGTCACAAAGCTGGGCGGGGTGGAAGACAGCAGCCCGTGCTTCCCTGGAAGAGATAAACAGTGCTTAGGTAAGGACCAAAACCTCACCGCCCTCTGTGAGTAACGTCTGACCTTATTCAAAAATTCACCAGCTTGAGATGCATCTGACAGAGCCTGGGAATGTTTTGAGTAGAGATGCTGCTGGAAAGATAATGGGCTAATAAATCAGCTTAATAGGTAGATTATATGGATTTTCCCAGCTCAAATTATTTTTCCATTTATATTCTGAATTGCTTTTGAACACCATTCATGCGAGGCATCATATAAAAAGATGATTTTTATGCAAGGTGTCACCAATTTAAAATAAATAATGAAAAATAGGCTTCAGTTGCATGCATAGTTAGAGGGAGAAAATGCAGAACTGTTACTCGCTGGACAAGGACAGACAGGAGCCCCAAACCCCTCCTCCAGAACAGAGGACTCCAGAGGACCAGAGGAGTGGTGGGGGACAGGACAGGCCCTCGCCCGGGGCTCTGTGTGGGAGCCACCCGGCAGATGCTGAGCCGCTGCACACAGGGAGGCTTCCAGAGCAGGATGGCTGCAACTTCTGCCCTCTGCCCCTGACCACGCAGTCCTGTCTCACTCTGGTCCGGGGAGATGTCTTTCTCTGGGTGGCCTGAGGACCCCACCAACCCCCCTGGCCCAAAGCCACTGCCCCATGGGCGTGGGTGGGGCTGGGCTGGCCTGCAGGCACAGATGTCACTCGGAGGGGAGAGGTGGACCCCAAACCACCTTGCTCTCCAGCTCCAGGGCCATCCACCCCTCGGGGGTCTGGGAGTGAGAGCTGCCACGACACACCACTTCCACTCAAGCAAGGCCACAACAGGACGGGCCACTGAGAGCCGCATGGCAGTGACCGCGGCCCTCACCACTGAGGCCCTGGCACACAGTGTCCCTTTCTACGCATTCCAGTGGTGGGGTAGGGGCCTGGCCGGGCAGCAGAGGGCAGAGGTCTGCCTCTGTGGGATCAGAGGACCACGCCACATGGGTGGGAGGGTCAGAGGTGGTCTTGCACCAGCTAACAGAAGAAGAGAGTGTCCCCTCCAGACGGCCACTTGGAGAAGGGACCCTTAGGGTACCTGCAGCCCCTCACAGCTGCGAGTGCACGCGGATCTGCGTGTGCAGCGCGGGTCCTATCGCCTCCACAGCAGGGCTGGGCTCACGCGTCTGTCTTCCCTGAGTCAGTTCCTGTCCCTGGGACTTTCGGTCTTTAAGACAACGCCCTTCTTTGCTGAGGTGGCTTTGAGTGGGGTTTTCTCCCCCAGACCCTCGCGTGCTAACAGCCAAGACAAGGACAGAAGGCCAGAGCCTACAGCAGCCAGGCCTGGCCCTGAGCATCCGGCTGCGTGGTGACTGCAGCTTCCTGACTCATCATCCTGTGCAGGGCAAAGAAGCAGTGCGCACTGTGAGCAGGACCAGGGTGGAGCTGAAAGGGGACATGAAGGCAAAGACAGCCGAGCCTGGCTGAGAACTGGCCACACGCCAGGCTTGTGCCGAGGCCTGACACGCCTGTCACACTTCATGGGGGCGGTGTCCTCCCTGTTACCGAGGAGGCAGCTGTCACATGACTCTGTTCCTGCACACCGGCTGCTGGGGACGGGGACGGAGGTCGCTGGTGGGCAGCAGGGCTGTGTGGGGCTGTGGGGGAGAATGTCTCAGAAGGAGGTGGAGACAGCGGCTGGCTGCGCAGTGGAGTTTACTAAATGCCCTGAGCATTCACTTTTAAACAGTTAAATTGACATTACAGGAAATCTTCCTCAGTTTCTCAAAAGTGACTCCCCGCTGCCCCAGGGCCCATGGCAGAGTGACCCGCTGCACTGCACGGAGTCCCCTGCCTAACAGCTCCTCTGTGTGAGCAGAGAGGGCACTCGGGCTCAGGGAGGCCCAGGAGGCATTTGGGATGAAATCACTGAGGGACCCGGAATATTGCATCCCAAGCCTGCTGTGGGCCTCTACCACAGACTCTGCAAAGCCTGGGGTGACCACAGGGAGGTCGGCACATGGTTAACTGCACCAAGAGTCCCAGCACCTGGGAGGCTGAGGCAGAAGGATCACTGTGAGTTCAAGGCCAGCCTGGGATACAGAGTGAGACCTTGTCTCCAAAAAATTAAAATTAAAAAAAGGCTGCTGATGTAGCCCAGTGCAAAAGCTGAGGTCAATCCCCATTACCACCAAAAAATAAAGACCACTGCCTCCTCTGTCCAGGAACAGGTGCTGTGAAACACGACTATACTGTGAGGTTTATTGGGACAAAGCTCATACCTGCCACACCACCCACTGTGACAGGAGAGAGAGATGAGGGAGCAAGGAGGGGAGGCAGACATGGTGCCCAGGACAGACCCCGGCCGCATGCACTGACCAACGGCAGCTGAGAAGTACATCCGGACCTCTGCTGGGGTCAGTGCCCGCTCCCAGAAGATGAACTCATCGAAGGCACCGTCCTCATAGCACTTAGTCTGGTCCTGCTCAGACCCTATCACAAGGTTGGCATTGGGCTCTCCGTAGTCATGCGACACTTTCCCGCTAGGGTCAGAGGTACTCAGGGTCCCATTGACGTAGACTTTCAGACCCTCCTTGGATTTCCATGTGAACAGGATGTGAGTCCAGTAGGGGCCTGGAAGAGAGGGAAGATGGCAGCTCTGGGCCCTGCGGGGTGAGCTCTCCAGGCACGAGGCCTTCCTGCCATCAAGCACATCCATCTTACCATGACCTCCAACCTAACCTTGTGTCACAATAGAGATCTGCTCTTCTTCAATCATGTAGCACACAGGAAAGAATTTGCTCTTGTGCCTCCATTCTCAAAATTCCAACAGGTAGTTTAAGAAGACTCCATTATTTCAACATATTGTAAATTTACATTTTCAAATGTAAATGCCTACAAGGCAAAGTGATCAAATATTTTTTAAAAGCCAGGACACAAGCATCACTAAGTGGTTATAGCAGGATTGAAGGATTCCAGTTTAACATGCAAAAGTCAGTTGCCTTCCTATATTTCACCAATGAATGAGTAGAATTTGAATTTTTAAAGAACCCCCATCATCACTTACATTACTGCTATAAAAAATTAAAAAAGAATATGAAGTACTTTGGTATTTAGGTAAAATCTAACATGTATGAGATCTGAGGAAATACTCTAATGAAAGACGTTAAACAAGAACTAAATAAATGGAATGATGTTCTATGTTCATGGATAGGTAGACCCAATACTGCCAAGATGCCAGTTCTTTCCAAATTAATCTATAAATGCAATGCAATTCTGATCAAGACCTCAGTAAGTTATTTCATGGGTAGCAACAAATTGATTCTAAAGTTTACATGGAGAGGCAAATACCAAGAAAATCCACAAAACAATAAAGAAGCAAAACAGAATTGGAGAACTGACACTGCCTGCCTTCAAGACTTATTCAACAGTTACAATGATCAGTAATCAAGGGGGTATGGACTGGGGCCGGAGGATTAGGCAGACAGGCAGACCAGTAGACCAGAAGAGACAGTCAGAGAGAGAGAGACCAACACAAACGCAGGTGTTGTGGCTTATATCTGGATGTACCTCCAAAGCCTCATGCACTCATAGGTGGGGTTTTGGGGAGTAAATGGATCCTGAGTATGTGATCCTGGATTAGTTCACTGATGCGTTTGTAGCTGGGTGTGATGCTGAGAGGTGGAGCCTGGTGGAGGAAGTAGGCACTGGGGCGTGGCCTGGAAGGGCCTGTCTCGCTCCTCCTCCCTTGATCCCTCTCTGATCCTGTAGCCCTACCATGGACTGTTTCTCCTCTGCCAGCCCCTCTGCCAGGCTGTCCTGCCTTGGAGCCAGCCGACTATGGACTGAAACCTCTACACACTGTGAGCCAAACTAAGCCTTTCCTCTTTTAAGTTGTGGGTGTTGGACATTTTGTCCAAGCAATGAGAAAGTAACAAAGACAACAGGCTACTCAATAGCTAACAAAGGAGCAAAGGCAATTCAAGAGAACCACGATAGTCTTTTCAACCAATGGTATAAGAACAACTGGATATTCAAATACAAAAATAAAAAAGAAATAAATCTAGGCACAGACTTTGTAGACTTCATGTGACTTCATCACAAAAATCAAGCTATAAATAAATAAATAAATAAATAAATAATCAAGGTAGAATAGATGATAGACCTAAATATAAAATGCAAAACTATAAAGCTCCTGAAAAGTAACAGGAGAAAATCTAGATGATCTGGACTTTGGTGATGACCTTTGTTGCTGTTGTTGTTGTTGTTTGAGACAGGGTCTCTTCGTGTAGATCAGGCTGGCCTTGAACTCACCACGTAACCCAGGCTGGCCTCGAACTTACAGCTATCCTTCTGCCTCAGTCTCCCAAGTGGTAAGATCACAGGTGTGCACCACCAGACTGAGGTGGTGATGACTTTTAGATTCAGCACAAAAGGCACTGTGCATAGAAGAAACACTGATAGGCTGGGCTTCATTAAAGCTAAGAACCTCTGCACTGGGAAAGATACTCACAGGAGAACAAGAGCACCAGCCACAGACGGGAGAAGAGGTTTGTGAAAGACACGATCGTGGACACTGTCGCCTGAAATACACAGAGAACTCTTGGAACTCAACAACCCACTTAAGAAAACATGGACGAAAGATCTGAACAGATGATGCTGCCTCGCACAGAATGCACAATGCCCAGAATGGGCCTATGCAAATCGTGGGCCTTGGGTGACAAGGATGTCGAAGTCAGTTCATCAGTTACAGCAAGAGGCTCTGCGGGGAAGAGGCTGGCTGTGGGGTGAGGCTGATGCGGGAATGTGAAACCGTCTAGGGGCCCAAGTCAGCCCATGCCGTGATAGCAGCCTCAGCTCTGATGGAGCCAGCTGGACACTGACCAGTATGGCGTGGACCAACTTCCCAGCTCCTCGGGGAGTCTGACAGTGAGGCTCCGAGCATCACGGGAAGCCTTGGAGGGCAGCTTGTCCCCCAGGGCCCCTGTGTGGTACAAGTGTTTGTGTTCAGATGTGGAAGGGACAGGGCTGCCCTCCCAAAGGACAGCTCCCCCCCAGGCAGCAGGCTGTGTGGGCTGTCCAGCAACTACGTCCAGGCTCCTTGCTCAGGATTGGGCAGCTTTCTAATAGTTTGGAGTCTCTGGAGAACACTTGGATCCTAATAGGTCCAAGTATTATTGCTTTTAAGTTTGTAAGGAAAATAAATCCCTTCGATGTGGGAATGGAGAGCGCCTTGCCCTGCAGCGATGTTTCTAAGCCTCCCTGTCGAGATGCCTTAACCCAAGTCCGAGTCCAGAGAGCCTGCGGGCCCCTGGCCCTGTGTCTGTCACACTGGCCCAAGACACACAGAGGAGAGGCTCCCATAGGAAATGCTGATGGTCCACAGAGCCCAGGAAGGAAGAGCCCGGGTGGGTGAGGGAGTGCTGCACAGGACAGGGAGGCCACAAGATTTCCTGTCTTGGGGATCAGAGCGGACAGACTCAAAGTACACTCTGCTGTTGCCGCCACCTCTTCCACTTCATGGCGTGGAGGTGCACGCTCACTGGAAGCAACGAGCCCCACTGAACAAACTTGGCCTCTGCCTCCTTGGGTCTGTTAACACCATTCTGTCTCCCTATGAGCTGGTAGAGTTTTTACCCTCATACAGCAAACACGCAGACCAAGGTGTGGGTGGAGACGCGGGTGCCAGCTCACAGGGCAGTGAGGCCCAGAGCAGAGCGACCCAGACTTTCTAAGGAGGCAGCCATGCAGTCCCCGTGGATGGGCCAGGAAGGGACGCCCGACCCCGGCCTCCCTCCTGCTCTCCACCCCACCCTGTCTCCTGGTCACTGCCTGGGCTGTCCTAGTGTGCTTCCCTGAGTCCCCTCTCCCTTTCCCCAAGGTCCACTTCAGCCCTGCCTGCCCCCCTCCAGCCCAGGCCAGCAGGGGGCACACGCTGGAGAAGACGGCACCCAGCAGACAGAGCCGGGGCCTCCACCACCCTCGGCTCAGCTGTCTGCACCCTGCCTTCCGCGGGGCCCTGCATCCATCCCCTCCAGGCCTCCTTCCTCCAGCCACAGCCCCTCTCCCCAGCAGCTCCTCTTCTCCTGTGCTGAGCAGCTTCCACCTACACCACAGGAGGAGAAGCAGGTGAAGGGAAGAGGGAGGAACAACTGCGTCTCCTGCCCACTAGGAGGGGACACTTTCAAGGTCACCTCCGTGGCCCTGTGACCTGGGTGAGCACAGAGCCACCGCCTCTGGCACACCCTGCCAGCCAGGATCCTGCCCAGGGTCCTGAGGGATCGGTGCTCACATCAGTGTCCCCTGCAGTGAGACAGCAGGAGCTCGGGGCCCGGACGCCACTCACCCAGCGGGCTGAAGGTGGCCTGCCAGATCATGAAGTCATCACGCGTGCACAGCTGCACAGAGCCCCGGCTGCCACTGAAGCAGACCTTGAAGCTGTCGGACAGCACCTGTCCCCCATACGTGGAAGGGGCTGGCCGGGCGTGCTCGCCTTGGGTCTTCCAGAAGAAGGAAAAGGTGAGCCCTGCAGAGGGAAAGGGCAGGGTGAGCAGGAGGAGCACAGGGGACAGAGGGAACATCACTGGCCAGCCCCTCCCCAGGAGCCCTAGCGAACCACTTCCGCCTGAATAGCACGCAGCACTGTTACTGTCCCATTGTGCAGATGGGACTCTGAGGCCTCTGCCCGGTCCCTGGGCTGGGACTCGTCAAGGGGGGACACAGACCTGGCGCCCGGGTCAGGGTGTGCATGTGCAGACACCCGCACCAGCGCCTCCACACCTGGTCTATAAACGTATTTTACAAAGAAAGGGGCCCTCCCGTGCAGACCGGATTGTAAACAGCTTCAACTCTCTGGCTGCTTGTGAACTTCCTCCCATGTCCATAAATACACTGCCAGATTGTCATTTTTATGTCCACATGGCACTATGTCCTAAACAGGATCCACAGGGTTTTTTAAACAGTGCCCTGTGTTGAGTCTTAAGGTTTTCATCACAGTTTTGAAGGAGTCTTCCAAAGAGAACCCGAGGCTAAAGGCTTTTGCCCCTCAGATCAGAGGCTCTGGAATCCCGTCTCCACGGGGAGTTCCCGTCAAGTGGGAAGCGCACTTTCAGGTTTCTGATCTCCATGGCCACTCGTTTCCAAGCGACGCTCACTGTGGCCGGCGGGGAGGCAGGCAGCACAGTTCTGAGGACATTCAAAGGCAGGCACTCAGCAGGTCCAGACCCCAGGGGACTCACGGGGCGGGGTCCCTGCTACAATCGCAAGTGGCCCTGGCTGGGTCACAGATGATGTGTCCTCCACGCCACGCCTGGGCACAGATAGAGCAGGTGACCGGCCCGGCCTGACAGGAAGTGCTTCCTGTTCACACACAGGCAGTGGACACCCTGCCTGGCACTCAGGGACACCCTGGCTCAGACTCTGGAGGCCCTGGGCCTCACTTGGGGCTCTGGCTTCCTCTGAGCTGCTTCTCTGCCCTGGTTACCTGTGCGTGCCTGCCCACTCCTATTGTATAAGTAGACATGAGTGTGTGTGTATGAGTGTGCTGAGTGTGTGCTTGGAGCTGACCCAGCCCTGCCCACCACAAGGGCAATCACGAGAGCATCCTGGGGCCAAGACCCCTGCCCAGGGTTTGACAAATAGGCGGGGCCGGTGTGGGGCCAGAGGCAGGCAGCAGGCAGGCCTTGGCCCTGTAAGGGCCCCGTCCTCAGTGAGATCGCGGACACAGTCTTAGAGAGCTGCCGAGTCCAACAGCAGTGCTATCGCATGTAAATCAGCCTCTGGCCACCGACTGCCCTCTCCGTGCCCCGTGGGCTGACCCGCTGTGTGAGTTCCCAGAGCCTGTGGCAATAGCACTGTTTTGACCCTTGGGGGTCCCAGCCCCGACGGGGACATGGCGATCGGCAGTTTTTCTAACCCTGGCCTGGGGTTTCTCCTTTTTATTTTTTTACATAAAAGGAACCTTGAGATTTGTGCGTGTCCCTAACACAAACAAAGATAAGAATGGAGAGTGAGGGATTTGCACATACTGAGCCCCGTAATACAGATGATTGCGCTGCCCAGTTACACATGAAGGGTACAATACCGGAAAGGGCCCCTAGATTCCTGAGGCTCTGGGAGGCTCCAGGGTAGAATCCAAGTCGAAGCAGGGTCCCCGGGGCCTCAGAATGCCCTGTCACCCATGAAGGACGCGCTGTCACCATAATGATGGCAGCACAGGGCCCGGGGCAGTGGGCGGGGCATCCAGGCCCAGGCGACGCCCCACACTGTCCCCTGTGCAGCAGGCAGGGCCACCTCCTCCCGCTCCGTAGGCCCCACTGTCCTCAGGAACAGGCAGTTTCACAGGGCAGTGAGCACAGCACACTGTGAGACTCTGTCATGAAACATACTCCCAGCAGGATTCGTGGACGTCAGGGATTTTTCCCCAAAAGGCCTGACTGCGTGTGAAAAGTCCTTTCACTCAATTCAAAATGATCTGTGGTGGCCAAGTGTCTGTCCGAGGAGGAAAACAGAAATAAGAAAGTTCGGCCGGGGATTTAGCTCAGGGGTTCCACCGCCTGCTTCACAAGCACAGGGACCCAAGTTTGATCCCCCGTACTAAAAAAAAAAAAAAGAAAGAAAGAAATAAGAAAGTTCAATGCAGTGTTAGGTGAGGGTTAGGTCATAAAAATAAAGATTAAAAGTGCAGCGTGGCGTTGGCGCAGACCAGCTGTGGGCAAGGTGTGGGGCCTGCTGCCAGCCTCCCGCTGTCCAGTCTGTCCCCACCGCCTTGGGCACCGGCCATCCGTGAGTGGCTGTCAGCACCGAGCTTCGAGGTCTGCAGGGAAAGGCCAAGCCCACCACTGGTAAGTCGGTCCTGAGCTTTGTTCTTGCTGTGCGTGTTGAATCCTGCTCCATCCAAAAATAAAGTGGGGAGAGACCTTGCTCAACAAGGCAAAAGGGGGAGACAAAACCCTGTGACACGAGAGTGCCGGAGAAGCTTGAGTGTGTAATATTCTACACGGTAAAAATCGCCAGGAAGGGCAACAGATGACAGTCCGGGGGAAAGCATCGGTCACACAGCAGGGAGGAAGCAAACGCCCTCGATATGTTAGCAGCTTCCTAAGAGGAGCACGATCTTGCCATCGGTGATGGCGTGCGCAGCTGGACTCCGAGACTTTGCAGGCCTGGACTCTGCCACCTCCGGAGTCACAGGCGCAGGGTTGGGGATGAGGCCAAGAACCCTCCAGGGCCCACGCCAGCCTAAGCAGTCTCCCAGGCAGAGGAGGTACCAGCACTCTGAGGACGGAGCCGCCTCACTGGGCGCCAGGGCCAGGTGGGGCCTCCGCTGGCCCAGGACACTCGGAGCTCAGAGCACAGCGGGCAGTGCTCCTGGCTCAGCGGGAAGGGCAGGAGGTCACCGTGGCCCAGGCACCTCCAGGCACCAGGAGCACTGCTGGCCCGGACCCGGTCAGAGCCCTGTGGAACCAGGGAGAGGCCCAGCAGCCCAGCAGAGAGAGGACACAGAGTCCATGGAGCCACATGGCCAAAGTCCATACCGGACACGTCTCCACATGCTGGGAGAAATGGCCAACAGGGACACTGTTGAGAGTGTAGAAGCCCAAAAGTTCAGGCGAAGAAAGAATGACAGTTTGTAAAGAAACCAAAAATCTGCCAGTTCTGCCACTTCCAAAGGCCTGATGGTGCCTGGATCAAAAGAGGGCTGGCCTTGGGCCAGGGATTTAGCTCAGTGGTTCTGGTGCCTGCCTTGCAAGCACAAGGTCCTGAGTTTGATCCCCAGTACAAAAAAAAAGAAAGAGAGCTGCCCTCAAAACACAGGAGACCCTACGTGTGTGCACATGTGTGCACAAGTACACAGAAGTGCTGGTGCACAGCTCCACACAGGCACAGACCGGATGCACATAGCAGTACCCTCACGTGCACATCTACAAATGCACCCCTGCATGGCACATGTACAAACACAGGCGTGCATGGTCACACAGGTACACAACACGCATGCCCAGCACACACACAGAGTGTGTGTGAATCTGGTGCAGTCTGAAGAGCACTGCCGGAGGACGCTGCGCTGCTACCACTGTGTAAGACACTAGCATGGGAAACACGAGGGACACGCGAGATCACACGGTGTGTTTTCACAATCATCTGTGAATTTACACCTGTCTCAAAACTGAAAAGGTTTTTACGTATTTTAAGGAAGGAGAGAGGCCTGGCGGGGTGGGAAAGGCCTTCCCCCTGGCCTGGCTGTCCGGGCTCCAATCTCACAGCTCCTCTCAAACTTAGGGGTTGGACGTTTCTGGGTAAGTGACACCTCCAGAATAAGGCCTCAGTTTCCCCATTTGTGAAATGAACAGGTGATGTCGTGCAGCCTGGGTCAGGGGCCGGAGTGGCCGAGTCCAGTGTGGCCTGTGCGGGAGGGAGAGGCGGCTGAGCCAGGCACGGCGGGCCCTCTCCTGGGCCTGGCTCCCCGGGCCCAGGCGTACAGCAGTGAGCCTCCCGCTGCTGGAGGGTCCAGATCCCCCACGGCTGCTGGCTTCCCTCCCCAACGCGGCACCCCACCTCTGCGCTTCAGCAGGACACTTGCCACAGCTTCCACCTGCTCAGGGGCGGGTCGGTGAGTGCTGCTCAGTCTTGGCTGCTTTCCCTGGAGAGCCTCAGGTGGCAGGCGTGGCTCTAAGCACACTGCCTGCTGGGGACCAGGTCCCTCTTCAGTCTGGTTCAGTTCTGAGCCTTCCAGAGAGACTCATTCATGAGAACTTGCTGGTCTCGTTCTGGCAACAGCAGCTGCCACGACATCGCCCTGCAGCGGGCAATGATGCCCATGCAGTAGGCGTAACAGTGTCGTGTCCGTGGGAGCCGTTACTGGTTTCCGTTTGTGGGACTGCAGTTTCCCTCTCGGCTAGGTCTGAGTGAGTGAGACTAAAAGGGAATGTTACGTAGTGCACAGTCCTGGTGCCACACCCTGCTGCCTCTCCGGCCTCAGTTTCCCGAGTGTCCTGGGTGCCACACAGAGGGCCACCCGGTGCACACAGAGCCCAGGGTCCTGGACCCGCTCACCCTCCATCCTCAGGGCTCGGCACTCCTGACAGCTCTGGAAACTTGCCAGCACAGGAACGCAGTGGAGGCCAAGCCGTGCCAGGGAAGAGCGGCAGTGGGGTGTCCAGCCAGCCTGGGGGTTTACAAGGACAGGAAATTCTGCGGAGCCTGGTGCCCGGAGCCGAGTGCAGAAAACTCCCGTGGACAGGAACACGGCCGCATGCGAAGCAGATACCGAATCCCTCAAGACGGAAGTTAGTCCAGCATTGGAAATAACTTTCCAAAAGCCAGAGGAGCCCGGAAATGGAGCAGCCTCTTTCTCCTCTCCACCCCTTTAAGCCGTTGTGTGGGTCTTATCTATTTGCTATGTCAAAGAGCCTCATCTTAACTAACACACTGAGAGATCAGATGTGGAGAGGAAATTAAGCAAGAAAGTAATTCTAGCCATTTGTGCCTCGGGCAATGACGTTTTTCAGACTTTTGTGCCATTTCCTTCCGCCGCACTTCATTCCACTGTGGTGAGAACACTGGGCTTCGACCTGCCCCGGCGAGTCCTGTAAGTGTGTGGTGAGCCCTCGCATGTGCCACAGCCACCACCCAGGCCCTGGGGACGCGAGGGCCAAGACAGGTGCCATCCTCACAGAGACTGAGAGAGAGGACTCCAGGCACAGGCCGCGGCAGCCCTGGGCCGGAGGAGGCAGTCACAGCTCGAGCCTGCAGCCCGAGGAGACACCCTACGTCGGCAGGCTGCTCAGAGCTCCCTGCTGCCTTCTGGTCCCTGCTCCTCTCTCCGGCCTGGAGCCAGGGGTCGGGGCCTCAAGGGACACAGACACCTCCTGAGGCCCAGTGAGGAACAGCCGTATGCAAGTGCCTTCTCCCTGGGCCCTCAAAAGCTCCCTGGACAGCAGCCAGTGACCAGGGAAAGGCTCCCCAGGGGCCCTGGGCCTTCATCTCAGGGTGAAGGAGGGGACGCCACAAGGGAGACGGGCCTCAGGAGAGTGGGGGGCTCTGAGAACCGAGGCAGCTGGGCTCCCGGGGCGTGGACCCACCTCGATCCTGACTCCAAATCGTTCTTTAAAGAAAATCCATGGGAAAACTGCCCGGCGACCACGGAGGGTCTGGAAATGAACAGCAGAGCGGTGGGCATGGGGTGCGGATCTCCATCTAAGCGCTGGCTTCTGCTAAAGCGATGGACTGTCTGTCTGTGTCCCAGCAAAACGTGCTGCCCAACACGCCCCAAAACACGGAGCCAGCGTTTTCCAAGTCTCAGTCACTCTCCACCTTCACATCTGAACGGCACTGCTAGGAGGCACTTCTGCAAAATCAGTGCACTTTCAGAGCTTTACTTCCTGGGTTCCTCACCCCAAATAGCCTCTGTGCTTGGAAGGAGGAGGTCGCATTAGAGAAAAACAGCCCCTGGTTTGGTTCTCACTGCTCGAGCGACCCCTGACGCCCCCATGGGCCCTTGTGCTTCAACTCCGCAAGTGCTGGGCAGCTTTGTCCTCTTGGACCGAGGCCCAGGAAAGTCTGGACAGAGGTCACAGGGAAGCTAGGTGGCCCTGGCGCTCCCTCGCCCTGCAGCCACTGCCCCACGCCAGGGCTGCGCCACGGCGTCCAGCCTCGTCTCCATCTGGCCGGGGATAAAGCAGGGGTGGGGTCTAAATGCCTCCAGGGCTTCCGATGAGCCACAGGTGAGCAACTGGTAACAAGCGGGACTGGGCCACGCCCATAGCTCTTCCTGACACCCATCCCGCAGCCGCGTCTATCTGGGGATGGACAGAGCTCATGCAGCACGAGAGGGTCCGCGTTACCCTGTGTGCTGTGGGCACGGTGAGCGGGACCGCAGCAGCCCTCAGAGGGTCACCCCCAAGCAGGCTACTGGTGTCCTCAGAAAGAACAGAATCAGGGACCGAGACGTGCAGAGCCATGAGCTCAGGGCGGACACCCAAGGGCTGCTCGATGAGCCAGAGATCCAGGGGGCCTCCAGTCCTCATGTACCCCGTGAGGAAGCTGCTTGCCTGGCTTGTTTTACACATAAGAAACTCTCCCACAGCTGCAGTATGGCCCAGGGGGCCACAGAGAGGACCGGAACCCAGGCCCCGTCTAGGCCAGGCCACTATACACTGCCTGCAGGATGCTGAGAAGGAACCATATGGGGACCGCACTGGACACAAAGGGGTTCTCAGAACACTGGAAACCTTGCAAATTTCCCAGTGCTCAACCACAGCAGATAATGTAACATTTCACCCCACTGCCTGCCAGGCCTGGCATGGCCAGTGGCCACAGTGAGTGCTGGCATCGTCATGTGGTGACGTTTCGGGCTCTCCCCTCAGCTGGTCACTGGGACAGTCCCCCACTGTGGCAGGGACAGAACTACTCCCCAGTCCTCCTGCTGCTGTCCCAGCCCGGGCTGCCTGGGGTCTGGACTCGTGAACAATCCCAGAGCACTCCCGCATGGGTCTGCAGCCTGGCTGGGCTCCGACCTCAGACTGGTCCACACCACCTGGGCCCCAAGCAGAGCCGCCTGTTTCTGCCTCGTCTGTCTTTTACAGAGCAGAGCCTGTCTTCCCCCAGAATCCGCACAACTGACCCATCGCAAGAGGCCCTGGGCACCCAGAACCTCCCATGGCCCACAGGAAGCTTCTCTCCCTCTGTGATAAACATTTTCACGGAACCCTGCAGGCAAAGGCGGCTTGGTCAGTGGCAGCGAGCACTTGCCCATCCTAGATCTGCTGTCTGAACCCCAGGTCTAGACCGCGGGTCACTTCCCAGGAAGGGAGGGAAGGGTCCCTGTTTCTTGAGAGCACTCGGGCTTGGTCCCCACGTCGCTTCAGCCTCAGCCTGCAGCTGCCAGCTGCCATGGTCCAGCCACCTGTGGACATGAAAGCGGCCGCCTGGTGGGGTTCACAGGTGCAGGCTGCCCTGCATGTAACCCACCCAAGCCAGAAATAACACTGCGGGAGCCACACCGCAACTTCCTGCCCACAAATACCAGCGCCCGGTCCCGGTCCCCGAGTGACATCACTGTGCCTCGCCCCTTCCTTTAAGGATGAAATAGGCTGACCACGAAGCTCCGCAGCACGGTGCAGTGTGTCCAGGCTGCCCGACCGGCCCTGGGTCGGAACCCAGCGCCTGTGTCCCCTGCCCTGCTCGAATGCAACATTTTTACGCCTTCTGCAATTGATGAGCACTCTGGTGCCCATCTGCCGCCAGCCCCGAGCAGGTGGCACCTGACCAGGACACGCGTGAGCGACCCCAGGCCTTTGCCACCACTCACCCTGGACACTGCACCTCTCCGGGCTGCTGATGCAGGAGGTGCTTTTGTAGAAGAGCAGCGTCTCCCCCTTCTCCTCCTTGAGGTAAATGCTCTTGTTGATCTTGGCCTCCATGAGGTCTGGGAAGACAGGACAGCGACATGAGGCCAGGACGCGGTCAGACTCACAGAGAGCTCACGTGCAAGGGCCCGGCGCACATGACGTCACGCGGGACTCTACCAAGGCATGAGTTAATGCCCCATGGTTGATAATTAAATGAAAGCGACTTTAAGTTCCAATGCCGGGTAGTTATTACCGTGTCCTGTGGTGTGGCGTGGACCTTCTGCTGTGGTGATGCTGAAACCATTGGATCTGACCGGAGCCGCCGCCACCTACGGCAGCATGATGGCCACCCCCTAGCGCCTGCCTCGCCGCCCGGGACCTTCCTGCTTTGCCTGCTCTGAACTTCCCCCCAGGACTCTCCCGTCACAGGTGTGAATCCAACCCTTGGTCCCTCCCCTCCCAGGCTGACCCCACCCTTGGGAGGCCTCAGCCTGCAGCTGCCTCAGCAGGACACAGACTCACATCCGGGTTCCAGAGGAGCCTTGACTGCTGGACGGAGGCCACCAGCCCGGGACAGAGCTGCTGTCCCGAGCCAGCCGCCAGGGCCAGGCAGGGTGCAGCCCACAGGGAAGCTGTGAAGGCCCGGGTGATGGCCTTGTCCTTTGCCGGGACACAGCTCCTGGCCGCCTCCGCTGCCCAGGCCAGGACATGTGGGGCCCTGTGGGCGCAGCCTCTGGGTGGACGGGGCTGTGGGTCACGGGCCAGAGGATACCCACGTTGGGCCTTGGAACGCCACTGTCCCCAGAGCGGCCCCCAGGCCGGTGTCCATCCTGACTGTGAGCTCCTCACTGTTCTCGTTGCTGGGGAGAGCTGAGCCCTCAACCTGATGGGGCCACCAGGCTGCTCAGCTAGGCTGTGCTGTGCAACCCAAGCCCGCCGTGGGGACCGCAAGCTGCGGCATGCCGAGAGAGGCTGAGGGGAGACCCCTGCTCAGAGCCGTGCATCTACCCGGCAAACAAGCGTCACTGTGGCTGCTGCCCCTGTGCTCTGGGCGCCGCAGAAGGGAGGGAGGCGCTCTGGAGTTTGTCCTGTGAGACAGCGAGTTATTCACAATCTGCTGGGGCCATGTCTCGTAAGACAGCTCTGGCAGCTTTTTAAAAATCCAGCTGCAGAAGAAATGCTGATTTTAATGTTTGTAAGAGATCGAAATTTGCATGGAGCAGTTTTAAAGCAGTGTTAATTTTCCATGGAAAGAGCACACTTTCCCTCCCACGAAGAACACAATCCCTTCAAAAATCCCATTTCTCTCATTTTTGTTTTGTTTTGATTTGATTTGATTTTCTGAGTCAGGCTCTTGCTATGTATCCCAGTCTGGCCTTGAGCTCCCAGTGATCCTCCTGCCTCAGCCTCCTGTGCCCTGCGATCACAGGTGTGATCCACCACGCCCGGCTAAAAATCGCATTTCTGGGTTGGGAAAGGCTACCTGTGTGGGTGCTGTTCTGGAAACAAACAGCTGATTCCCCAGACCCTGGGATGGCAGAGGAGGCCCTGCATCACCTGCACACAGAACCCTTCACGGGTCTTAACACCGGGCCTTCTAGTTTCCTCTTTCTTTCTTTTCTTTCTTTTCTTTCTTTTCTTTCTTTCTTTCTTTCTTTTTTTCAAAACAGTAAGTTCTCCTATTTATTTATTCTTTTTTCCTAAATTCTTTCATTGGTACACTTTAGGTATACACTACATTTCCATTTATCGCTGGGTGCTTGTACCTGTCCATGATGCATCTTGGCTCTTATTTTTTCCCCATTCCCTGTGCACCCTTCACCCCCTCCGCCCTTCCCTATTTACATAGACTTTGTTTCCACTTTTTTTTTTTCTTTTCTCATAGTTTTTCCTTTCCCCTTCTCCTCCCTTCACCCCTTCGTCTTTGGACCTTTTCCTATTTCACATTATCAATTATTCATTTTAATCATTTTAACCCTTGTTTACACTTTCAGTTTCTCACACCAGAGAAACTGTTCTGTATTTACACACGTGTGTCCTATTTATTTCACTTAAGAGTGTGGCCTCAATGTGCATCCATTTAGCCACAAATGACTCTAGTTTCTCATTCTCTATGGCTTCTTTCTGTCTCTTTAAAAACTTTTTTCAGTACTAGGGATTGAACCAGGGCCTTTGCACCGGGCCACATCCTCAGCCCCTTTTTACCTTGTGCTCTGAGGCAGGGTCTCGCTAAGCTGCGCAGGCTGGGTCTGAACTTGGGACCCTCCTGCCTCAGCCTCCCAGAGCAGTGGGATCACAGGCCTGCGCCACCACACCCAGCTCACTCTGGCTCTCTCTGCCACATGTCCTTGCCCATCCATCTGTGCTCTGTGGGCCAGGACAGTGGAGTCCTGCAGAACCCAGCTCTAGAACTCACCGCACAGGCAGCCAGACAACACAGGACACAGCGGATGCATGCTCACCTACAGTCGCAGAGAGATTGGAGTAGGCAGAGTCACTGGTGGGCACAAAGGTGGGAGAGTGGGAGGGGGACCCAGTGAGGTTGTAAGCTCGCAGTGCTGAAGAAACGACAAGAGACAAAAGCACAATGGATGAGAGAGACGGAAAGCAAACGCAGCCGCCCCATCCCTGGACCCGCTGGCCGGAGGCTGTGTGGCCTCAGTCCCCCTCCCTGCCCTCTTCCCGTTCATCCCGCGATGTCACCACCAGCTCTGGTGACCTTGTGTCTGGAAGCCAGGCATGAGGGCTGCTGACCCCGCAGGCTCGCATCTGGACACTTGGTTGAGAGACAGGAAGTTGAGCTAGGCTGATTCTAAAGCGGCCGCACCTCAAGCATGAGTGGTGGTGATGGCACAAGGACTGACAGAGACGCAGGACTGTGACAAACACAACAGCAGAACACAGCCACACAGAAGGGCAGCCCCACACCCACAGCGTGGCCTTGTGTCCAATGGCATCTCCAGCACCACAGCGTGGCTCGAGGACCTGTGATCCTACTGGAATCGCCGCCAGGGGACTCGCGGGGACTCGGGTCCCATGGGAAAGCGAGGATGGCCCTCAACGCCCCAGGGCCGTGGGACAAGCGTTGAAATATTCAGCTTTACCAGACGTCAATGTGTTCAGCAAACAAAATGCAAACTCGGTGCGATGATGCTGCGTCTCAGGAAGGGTTTCTCTCACAGGGAAAGGGGCTCAAGACACGGTCGGTTACCGCTGACCCAACAAAAATGAGCTCAGTTGAGCAAGCTGGGAAATAGACAGGGGGCTTGCGGCCCTCGTGTGAGGGGACTCCTGAAATCTTAGCTACGGCTCCCACACAAGGCGCTGTCTCGACAACACATTTCCACTTTTGAGATGAGTGCCTGGTGATGGCTTGAAAATCAGGCTCCAAGAAAGGAAACTCAGACCACAACCAGGGAAAGGGGTCTGTTTCACCCCAGCCAGCCAGAGCACATGTGCCCAGAGGTGCTCTCATCCATACAGTGCAGACCACTTGGAGGAACTCGGCCTCTGGGACAGCTGGTATACCCTGCGGCTGGCGAGCCAGCCAGGAGGAGGAGGGTGGCTCTGTCTGGGAGATGCTCCAGGAAGGCTGGGGAAATGCAAATGTTAGCCTCATTTTGAATCCTAAATCTGGCCCTCTGAGCACAGCAATCCCTAAAGATCCAGTGAAGCACTTGGGCTCAGCCTCGAGGATGGCCTCATCCCCACCCACAGCTGTCCCCAGTGCCCAGCTCACCTCCAGTCATGTCCTGAAGCTCCTGGATCCCATCTACATCTTCCAGTGGCCAGTAGTGGGAAGCAGAAGCCAGGACCGCAAACCCTGGGGAGCAAGAACCGACATCTTAATGCGCTGAGGGCGGAAGGGGCTGGAGGGAAGTCCGCCCACTGTGCCGCAGGAGGTGTGAAGTGCGACAGTGACCACAGGCCCTGCACGGGGCCCAGGCTAAACCCAGTACCTAGGCTTTGTTTAAAAAACAAACCTTCAATTAGAAATCGATGAATAGTTCTTTAATGAGAGCAGACAGAAGGGACAGGAGCAGGTGCTAACTCAGGTGCTAACTGCTTTTTAACTCATGAAAACCAAAGCTGCCGCACCTGACAGCAGAATGCCAGAAACTGGCCCATTGGCATCAGGGAAACAGGAGGGCATCCACTGGCCGGCTACTGACATGGTCTTAGAGGGTCTTCGGATGGGACTGGACAGCAGGGAGATGGGGCTACAATGCCCATATACACCAGGTGTTGTTAGAGGCACTTCACGGACACTTCTGCCTACCACCCCACAATGACTTCAAAGGTCACTGCTCCTTCGCTGGTGCATGAAGACAGGGAGCACAGTGTCCCCCACCTCACTGGCCAGCGGCATGGACACACAGGGCAGGCAGCGCCTCCCGCAGCCCCTGACAGGCCCTGGTGTCTCCTGCACCCCGAAAACGACTCCTTTCCAATGTCCTAGGTGATCCTTCTACTCCATGAGGACAACCCTCTGCGTGGATGGATCACTTTCTCTTCACACACTGCATGAGTCGATTAATTCATTGTTCCCATCTGGCTCCATAGTGAGCCCTGGTGATGTCCTGGGTGGCTGCCCACTCGGGCGACCACCCGCTCCCCCACCCACAGGCAGCCAATGTCCCCCCTTCCCTGGAGGAAGTGACCCAGGATCTGCAGCCTGAGTGGTCAGCCGCCTCTGCTCTGGCTGAGTCCAGGGGGCTGTCAGCGTGGAAATAATGGTCCCAGTGACTGAGTGTGTGCTGGACTGGGGAGAAGGGAAAAGGACCAATGTGTTCCTTGTGCTATTCACTGTACCGGAAGCCTCGGAGAGGAGATAATAAGATCACTATTGTCCAGTGATGTATGCTCAATAAGCAAAGCAAAGACCATCCCACACCACAAAGGAATTTAGCAAGGAGACCTGGACAAAGGCAACCTACAAAGCCCAGAGTCTCCCTGTATTTCAACAATAGAGCTGAAAAACAGCAAAACAGTCTCTCTAAATGCAATCAATAAAGAAAAAAGCATTCTAGAACAAAAGAATGAGAACTATACACGATTTTCACGAAGAGAAAAATACAGCAATGCTGAGATTTTAAGAACACTTTAACTGCACAGCTTGACTTGTTCTTGGAGAAGCAGACTCATCATAAAAATATCAGCACCCTTTAATTAACCTAAAGTTATGGGGAGATTTCCTGTAACCTTGAGGAGAGAATTCTTTGGGAGGGGAACTCTGTTTATGAAGCTTATATTTTTAAACACAGCAAGAATAGCCCAGAGGACATGGAGAGGGGTGGAGAAGCTCAGGGGCCCCGGGGGCCACTGGGCTGCAGGGGAGAGGTCACAGGTGCTCCCAGGAATGTGGGACTTCAGGTGAAGGCGGCACTTTAAATCAGAGGGGAAATCCAGCTGAGTCACGGCTCTGGGAACTGGTTAACATTCAGAAACAATTAATATCCCTACCTCACTCTTTACACCACAGAAATTTCGAGATGAGTCAAAATTTAAGTGTAATAGCTGGGTGTGGTGGTGCATGTCTATAATCCTAGCGCTCAGGAGGCTGAGGCAGGAGTATCACTAGTTCCATGCCCACCTGGACTACATTATTGAGTTTGAGGCCAGCTTGAACTACATAGTGAGACCCTTGCTCCAGAAATAACAACAATAAAAGCATAATACATTACTTTTTCAAAATCTCTGTGCAGAAGAAAAAAGACAAATTAAATAAAAGAGAATGCTATTTATATAGCATGTGACAGAAATACACTGATTTCTTTTTAGATGTATTAAATTCAGTCAATTAATAAAACTCCTGTGGGCTGGGGCAGTAGCTTCCTGGTAGAGCACTTGCCTGCCCTGTCTGAGGCCCAGGGTTTGATCCCCAGCATCGCAAAACACACCCAAAGCCCCCTATTAAAGAGGAAAAAGCAACATGCAGCTCAAAGAGAAAGAAATGCACCTTGTTTTTGAATACTTCAGTGAAGGTCAGCCTGGCCCATCACTGCCACCTGCATGGAGTGGGTGGGCAGAGCTCAACTACCCGGCCAGCCAGGGCAGAGTGGCGGGGAGGCTGGAGGTGCCCGAGCCACCTGGACACCCTGAACTGATAGTACCGTAAGTAACAAAACAGATGAATGAGGCTCTAGAAAAATTCAAAGCAGAAATAATTGCCAAGATAACTACAGAGATGGTGAGCAGAGTGAAAGACATGATTAGAGGCTCTAGAACAGAAACAGATAAAAAATAGACGAGCTCAGAACCATGCTGGAAGCCATGAGTGCCCAGCATAACAAAAAAATGGAATCCATGAAACTGATTCAAACAGATATCCAGGAGATTAAAAACTCCATTGAAAGTATGCACAGCAGATTAAGGGAATGTGAAGATAGAATATCAGATATAGAAGACAGGATTGCGGTTAGTGGCCATGACAACATATTTCTTAAAATTAGTAAGGGACCATGAGAAATCAATCCAGCAGCTGCTAGATGATGCAAAGAAGAATAACATATGACTGATAGGAGTCCATGAAAAAACAGGAGAAAGTACAATTGACATTAAAAAAAAAACTGTTCACAGAAGTAACAGTAGAAAACTTCCCAAACAGAGGTAGAGAGTTGGACATACAGATAAGTGAGGCATATAGAACTCCAACTAGCCATGATCAAAAAAAATCTACACCTAGACATATAATAGTCAAGATCTAGAGACCCAACAGAAGAACAAAATCCTACAGGCAGTTAGAGAAAAGAAACAAATCACCTACAAAGGAAACCCCATCAGAATCACAGCAGACTTCTCAACACAAACCCTCAAGTCAAGGAGAGCCTGGAGTGAAGCATTTCAAGTTCTAAAAGAAAATAACTTCCAATCTAGACTGTTGTATCCTGAAAAATTATCTTTCAAAATTGATGGGGAAAGTAGATACTTCCACAACAAAGAACACCTGAGAAATTTCATGAATGCTAAAGCAGCACTCCAAACAATTCTAAACAATATCCTAGAAAAAGGCAATTGAAGGTCACAACTCCATGATGGCCATCAGAGGGAAGCCACCAGACAAGGTAAGAAACTAAAGGGAAAGGGGGAAAAATAAAAAATAAAAGAGCCAAGAACAGTAAAACATCATGACAAGGATGAGTCAATATCTATCAATTATAACCATCAATGTTAATGGCCTCAATTCACCAATGAAAAGAAATAGACTGGCAGAATGGATTAAGAAGCAAAATCCAGCAATATGCTATATACAAGAAACACACCTAATTCAAAAAGAAATCCATAGACTGAAAGTAAAAGGATGGAAAACAGTTCTCCATGTGACAGGAACCCAGAAAAAACCAGGGGTAGCAATCTTATTTGCAGACAAAGTAGATTTCAAACCAAAACTAATTAAGAGAGACAAAGATGGTCACTACGTCCTTGTGAAGGGAACAATCCAAGAGGAAGAGATGACAATCCTAAATATATATGCACCAAATACGAATGCCCCCAACTATACAAAACAAATATTAATGGACATGAAAAACCAAAGAAGCACTCAGAGCTACGGATTGCACACGGTGTAACTGTGGGTATCGCTCTTAGAGGAAGAACAACAGAAGACAGCTTCAGAATTGAGAGAATCAGACCTTTTATGGTATTTTCAGGACTGGCCCCCTGGAGAACTGCATTCCCAGAGCCCCAAAATGGTAGCCACACCCCCAAAGGGGTAAGGTTGGCATTTGATAGGCCCCAGGGACCACAGTTGAAACTGACTCCTAACTCAGAATTACAGGGTTGAGATACAGCCAAAGCTCTGCTCCTATCCACCCTAAGCACTGGAATTTAAAGTGTTTGGTGTAGTTTCTAATCACAGCCGGCTAGCGTTGACCCATGTGGAAAGGATTCTTCTGTGTCGTAATCCAATTCAAATTGCTAACAACAGTGTTTTGAACTGGGTAAGCTGATTGGTTTTGATGAAACAAAGGGGAGACCAAAGCCTGGAATACAGCTTTCAGATCGCAAAAAGGAAAAACAGAAGGCAACACCTGACTGAGCCATGCTACTGCTGTCAACTTGAGGCTTCAGATCAGCTTCTAGCAGAGCAGGAGAAACAGTTACCACTGGTCCTGAGAACAAGAGACCTTTTAAGATAAACAACCTGAGGTTAAAACCCTCACATTTGAAAGCCTAGCCCAGTGGCTCTCAACAGTAATCTCAGCACTCAGGAGGCTGAGGCAGGAAGATCCCCGCAAGTTCAAGGCCAGCATGGGCTACATAGTGAGACTGTCTCAAAAAACCAAGACCTTGGGGTCGGGGATTTAGCTCAGTGGTTCTGCTCCCTGCCTCCCAAGCACAAGGTCCTGAGTTCGATCCCCAGTACCAAAAATAAATAAATAAATACCAAGACCTTAAATTGAGAGAGATTCAAGACTTGCCTAAGGTTAAATACCTAAAACTAGCAAAACTAGTATTTTTATTTCAGTGCATCTGGCTCAAAAAGCATGTTATTTACATTACACAGTGTCTCCTAGCAATGACCAAAGCTTCCCTCCTAATCCCAACTCCTCTTCTCATCTATACTCATCAGAAAAAAAGAGCAATAAGGAAATCAGATCTGATACCTAGAACTCCTAAACAGAGTATCTAGTTTTCTTTCTGACTATAAAGCAATGACAACAACCAAGAGATAATAAATAAAACTTAGGACTGTTTGAAAAAAAACCCAAACAAATAAGCACTAATACAATTGTAGTGGGGGACCTCAATACCCCACTATCACAAATAGACAGATCATCTAGACAAAAAATCAACAACTAAATACTAGAACTGAACCAAGCT